ATTTTTGGCAGGGACCAGGGATTTTCCATGTCTGTGTTCCTAGCACCCAACACAGTGCGTGACAAAGAGTAGGGGCTGAATGAGGGTCTGTGGATGGAGGGATATGCCCCCTCCCTTGTTTTCTGCCATCTTTCACTAGGCTTTGCTCTTCCTCCTTCCCTCTCTCAACTTTCTACTTGTAGTGTCTTCATCTTTGTTTATTTCCCAAAGTTTTTCTTTCATCCTTCTCTCCCTTTAAGTAATAGCTAATTCTTATACTTGATATAAAAGGCTAAAGAGCTAATTTCTGCATCAGGGCGGGAGGGTTGATTTCTTGCTCGCCCTTGATGCACTGCAAGATCTTGGTCAGCCAAGTTGCCCATTCTCATTGCCTCATCAATTAAGTAAACTTTCTTCTTAGAGAGGACTTTAGGATTTGGTATTTTAAAGGAAAATATGAAGTTTTTCTCCAAATTGAAGTACTTGCTGTGAGTCGATTCTGACTCATAGCAACTCTATAGGACAGAGTAGAACTGCCCCATAGGGTTTCCAAGGAGTGGCTGGTGGATTTGAACTGCCAACCTTATGGTTAGCAGCTTAAATCTTTAGTGGTATCTGCAACTTGCTTTTAAAACAAAATTTCATTATACACATTATCAAAAGTTTTACCAGTGTACATCTATTGACATACAACCACAATTTTTCTTGCATCTCACATTTTAATGCCTATTACAACAATTTTAATGAATTTTTACCAGTCCCTACCTTTGTTTCGTTTCTTTCTGTAAATGTTGTTAGATGTATTTCTCTGCCTTCTCTGAAATCCCTTGTGTTACTGTTGTCTCATAACAGCAACACGTATGCTCCCTGTAAAGAGTTGTAAGAGCAAAGACAAAAAGGAGAAAAACAGTAGGATTCCTACTTTGACATTCTTCATTATGTCTACTACAAATTTGATTGTCCTGATTCAAGAATGCCACATGTCTCCATGGCAGCTGCCTCTCTTGCTCCCTTTTTGCCATCAGTTTGTGTCAGGGAAGTCTGTGTATTTCATTTACCCTGGGATTCTTACCTTGTAGTAATTTGTATGCCCTCCTTATCTGTGCCCATAAGAGCCACCTGGTATCATTTTTATTTTGCTGGTCGAAATGGACAGGTTTTAGAAGATGTGATGTAAAAATCCTTTTACTTTGAGATTACTTCCTTGACCCTTACTTCATGAAGGCAGTGGAGCAGAAATGAAGCATTGCACATTGAACACACTTCTTTGGTGTCTTCATGAAATCTAACCTAAATGACTAACCCTTAATTCTGCTATAGAAATAGGCTTATAAAACATAGTTTAATAACAGTGAGTAAACCCTAGTAAAGTGCATAACATAATATACATTTCTGTATTGGGAGGAAAGTAGCAAATATAATATGCTGTTTATATTGTTGTTCTGGTCTGTTTTTCTCATTAAGATAAGTAGTTCAAATTTGTTTAAAAAAAATAAAAAGACGTTTAAATATTCACGGTTGGAAAGCCTAAATCTAAAGCTTTTGTAATAAGCAAACACCTAAAAGAAGATTTATACCAGGCCAAAGTTCAAACCTCAGAGACATTCATAATTTCTTTAATCAAATTATCTAAAATCATATTAGAAAAAAGGTCATGTTTGCATTATAATCATTTGATTAACTACAAAAGAAAATTCATTTTCTTGAAATGCACTATGAGTAACTGCTACAAATCTATTTTAAAAAGACAAACAACACGAGAAAAATGAGTCCAGCGTTTCAACAGCCAGCTCACAGAAGAGGAAGCCCAGTAAACACATGAAAACAATGTGCTCATCCTCACTTGTAATCATAGAAACCCAAACTGAAATCATAGTGGTGTACCATTTCATACTCATGAAATTAGCAAAAATTTACAAGTGTAATAATACTAAATTTCAGCAAGGATGTAGAACAATGAGAACTTTCAAAACTCCTATGGAAATGTTAACTGGTACAGCCACTTTGGAAAACAATTTAATATCGTTTTTAAAAATGTGCGTATTCTTATACCCACAAATTCCACTTCTAGATAATATACTATAGAAAAATTCTTCTACATATTCACTAAGAGACGTGAATAGGAATGTTCATTGCGCATCATTTTTAAAGCCAAAAAAACCTGGAAATGACCTAAATATTCTTCAGCAGAATTGTAGCATGTCCAACAATGGGATGCTACCATATAGTTAAAAGGAAGGAACTAGAGCCTTCAGTATGGAATCAGTATGGATTACACTTCAACATAAAGAAAACAAAAATCCTCACAGCTAGACCAATAAGCAACATCCTGATAAACAGAGAAAAGATTGAAGTTGTCAAGGTTTTCATTTTACTTGGATCCACAATCAATATCTATGGAAGCAGCAGTCAGGAAATGAAAAGACACATTGCGTTGGGCAAATCTGCTGCAAAAGACCTCTTTAAAGTGTTGAAAAGCAAAGATGTCACCTCGAAGACCAAGGTACTCCTGACCCAAGCCATGGTATTTTCAATCACCTCATGTGCATGCAAAAGCTGGACAATAAATAAAGAAGACCAAAGAAGAATTGACATCTTTGAATTGTGGTATTGGCGAGGAATATTGAATATACCATGGACTGCCAAATGAATGAACGAATCTATCTTGGAAGAAGTACAACCAGAGTGCTCCTTAGGAGCAAAGATAGCAAGACTACGTCTTACATACTTTGGGCATGTTGTCAGAAGGGATCAGAACTTGGAGAAGGACATCTTGCTTGGTAAGTAAAAGGTCAGCAAAAAAGGGGGAGAACCTCAGTGAGATGGATTGACACAGTGGCTGCAACAGTGGGCTCAAGCATAACAACAATTGTGAGCATGGTGCAGGCCCATATGTAGTTCATAGGGTCTCTGTGAGTCGGAATCAACTCAATGGCACCTAACAACAACAAGAAGAGCGCATATGTGGATAAATCATACAAACATGTTGAGTGAAAAAACAAGTTACAGAAGAAAACCTATAGGCATGGCTATCTATGCTATTTTTGTTTCTTAAACACTTTGGTGCGTGGGTGTTTTATATATTATTTAATATAACTTATTTTTTATACCTGAAACATTTTGTTAAAAAAAAAATTGTCCTGTGTTTGTTTTTCCAAATGGTCTAGTCACCAAACATCTTTTCCCCAAAAAATTACAACATGCCTAAAGTAATACATGTTGCATAAAAACGCAAAGGAAAATTACTTTGAAAGAAACAAAAGCTACTGAAATCATCTATAGGCTCATTGGGGGAGAAAAAAAAATATGAATAAGAAGTAAATAAAAGCTACACAAAGCATTTTTCATTGAATTTCAGGTTATCAGTATTCGAAGAAGTTTAGAGATGTAGAACCCTTTCTAAAATCTCAAAATAGTTTTCATTTTTTTCCCATGCTTTTTCTGGGAGTTCCTTGGGGTTTTTGTTTTGTTTTGCTTCAGTTAGTTGATATTTAAAAACTAAGCCTATCATCATTCATTCATTCCAGATATTCCTCCCACCTCTCGTTCATTTTTCAGCTCATATACTATGCTTTTTACTGTTCGCTGTTCTCTTCTATTTTCGTGGCTTTAGACTTGGTATTTCTTTTTCCTTGTTTAACTTTTAAGATGTTTGAGTTACAGTAAAAGTTCCTAAGATATCTATTGTTTGTTACTTGTAATTTCTGGATATCTTTTGTTTTTAATTAAGCTGATGTTATATAATCTTAATTTATTATCCATATTCATTTTCTTGTAGTCTTTTTAATTATACCCCTCATTCTACGGTATAATTTTTGTATTCCGAAATTATGTTGATGTTACACAAAATGTATACATCACCTGGTTTAATGAATCCATCTTCATTTGCGTTCACCTATTTATTTCTTATTATATGTGTAAATTTGTGGTCAGTAAGAATGTAGATAATATGCATGTGACAGCAGAATAGTAAGCAGTCATACAATTTAAGAATGCAAGAGAATTCTAATTTCTCTGTTTCAAGAATGTTTTAAAAATGCTACCAGAAGGTTTGACTATATATCTGTTTAGGTAACTACTGTGGGGATATAGATGATACCCCTATAGTGGAAATCCTTTGACATAGGATCAGCCACGTTGCATTGGTGCATGGTGCCTAATAACTCTGCTCAGGCAATAATTGCTCAGTGTATTTTAACTGGAGGAGCTCTGGTGGCACAGGAGTTAAAACACTCGGTTGCTACCTGAAAGGTTGGTGGTTAGAACACACCAGCTATTCTCTGGGAGAAAGGTGTGGCAGCCTGCTTCCATAAAGATTACAGCCTTGAAAACCCTCTGGGGGCAGTTCTACCTTCTCCTATAAGGTCGCTATGAGTTGGAATCGACTCGACAGCAATAGGTTTGGTTTTTGATTTTGTGGTATATTTTAACTGAGTAACTACCTTGGGTCAGTAAAGCTAAAGGAAGTAAGAACTTTTGCTACTTTGGAGGGGAAAAGTAGGAATAGGTTCATTTTTTTAAGAATATTATCGGATAGGTTTCAGAGAAGAATTATTTCTTAGCATTGCTTGTCTCAAAAAGGAAAAATATACAAATAGATTCTGCATTTGTTGTGATGGACAGGAGGAAAGTGACAACATTTCTGGGTGGACATGAAATGGAGAACCCAGGTTGTGTGGTTCTCCAGCAAGGGGCTTAACTGTTCATCTGGTGCCTTGACTGTTGGGGTACCTCTTAGGAGGTCGGGTCTGAAGCTTGGTGACAATTATACCCAATAAAAGGCTCTGAAGGCATTTGGTGTTATGAAAAGGGGCCTGGGTAGGGAGGCTGGCCTTGATTGCTACCCTGGGAAGGAATAAGTGAACACTGGCATGAGAAAGTTGATAAGATGTGGCACCATAAGCACAGTGGAGTATTTTGATGAATTAAAGTCATTCATCATAAGGAATTTTTTTAAGTACTCTACTTTTTTTTTATTGATTTATTTCCCGGACATTAAATGGCCTAACAATTTCCTGCAGGAGGAACAGTTGAAATCTCATGAAAGCAAGCTGAAGCAGATCACCACCGAGCTGGCCGAGCATCGCTCATATCCCCCTGACAAGAAAGTTAAAGCCAAGGAGATCGATGAATACAAACTGAAAGACCACTATCTGGAGTTTGAGGTATGTTGAACCAAATGATAATAAATGCATAGAATTGAGTTATGCTTTGCCCATGAGGCAGTTTTTATTTTAACTTATTTATTTATTAATTATGGTTACTATCACTGGAAGCGTGTCTTGCCCCTGGCTCTGACTTGGGAACTCCTAGCATGATCTAGGTCTTGGTGGCCCATCGTGTTCATGCTTCTACTGAAGTGCCAAATAAGCATCATAGAGTACCTGTCAGTTTATGGACTTAGAAGTACATACTCTGCCTGGTAGGAAGAGTGTATGCTTGCTGGGCTTCGGGGGCTAGACGGACATGCCAGTGTGGGCAACTGCTTTCTGTGTCCTTGTGTGCCCCTTCCAGGAGAAAATCAGCTACAGGGTGATTGTGAAGCATCAACTTTTTTTTTTTTTAATCTCAGAAAAAAGTTTATTAGCATGATTAATAACATTTTCTTGAATAATGGCAGGGAAAGAATTTGTAAACAGGGAAAACTCTCCGTGGTGATACCTCATAACCAGTATTTGGAATTGTACGGACAGCTTTATTGCCAGTCTTTGTTTCATTGTAAACAATCCATGTATTGGTTCCCTGTGAAGTCATGACTATTGCTTTGTCTGGGAATGAGTCCCTACTGCAATTAAGTATAAAAAATATCTTCCATCATAATTGGAGTGTGACCTACATTGCTGAGTAGAAAGGTGATAAATATCCTCGAAGACTTGGGGTTTTGTTTTTTTTAAAAAACATTCCTTTTACACACTACAAAGAAATAATTAGTATTTTGGCTTTTTAAATTCCTACATGATACTTAGAATGGCAGTCCCCAAAGGCCCTCCCTTCACATAATTGCCAACACAGACGTCTTCTGGAGGGTGCATTTTTTGGGCAGACTCTGAAGACTTCAGACTCCATGTGTTTATACTGATTTGAGAACAAAGACGGCATCATCCAGAGCATAGTAGTCATTGTGCATGTCACCTTCACACAGGTACAACAATCTGGCGAAAGCTTTAATAACAAAGCCAGCTTTTCTGAAAACTTCCGGCAGACTATTCACTTGTTTTTCCCAATTCTGTCCTTTGATTTCCAAAATTTTTGATGGTTTCTCTCACTTGCCACCTATGTTTTCCACATAGGGATGAAAAGGCAGGACCAAGGCGAGGATGACCCTCCCTCTAGTTGGCTCCAAGACACTTCTGGTATCTTTTAACAAAGTCAGGGGCTGATCGCAGCAGTCCGGCAAATTCAAAAAGCTGGTGACATCATGGAGCCCTGGTAGCACAGTGGTTAAGAGCTCAGCTGCTAACCAAAAGGTTGGCAGTTGAAATCCACCAGCTGCTCCTTGGAAACCCTACGGGACAGTTCTACTCTGTCCTATAGGGTTGCTATGAGTCAGAATCGACTTGATGGCAAAAGGTTTTGATGACATTGTACTGTCATACTGGAACCCTGTATTCTGCCTTTCATTTTTATCAAGTACTCAGCGTTTCTTTTTCTGAAGCTGCCATATCATAGTTTCATATAGCTCAGTGGCATAAATTTCTTCAAAATGAGGGCTCATGATTTTTGTGACTTCTCCATCTCCAGCACCTGAATTAAGAAGTCTGTGGGTTTTCCAGTCTGGATTAATTTTAAGCAGTCTCTGAAATTGATCTGGTGAAAACAGAAACGTTTATCCTCTTCCTAGCAACCCTTTGATAGATGTTCTAGACATAAACAAGCTAAAAACAGATGACACAAAAGAATGATATGATTGGATAAATAGCCAGCCCAATTTCTCAGTGCTGTTGTTTAAGAAGATCTGTGTTCCATGATTAAGGTAACTGATCAAAGACAGCCTGGAGTGATTCACATAGTCTCTCTCTGTTGCGCACATACCACTGGTGGTTCTCCTTCCTGCTGCCCCCAGCTGCCGCCAGCCGCCTGGGCTGCTCATCATGTTCACGTACGGGGAGTGGGTGAGCAGCATCCACATCCTCAGCGCCAGCCGCACGGATGCCAGGCTCAGGCACAGCCAGCCTGCGAAGCATCTTAGCGGGGACCATGGCCGCTGGCTCCGCTCACCACAGCAGGGGCTAGGAGGAGGAGGTGCCACCGGGGCTCGGGCCATCGTGCTCAACTTGCCCATCCAGCCCCCAAGCATCAACTTTGTCCTGTACATTCTTGCTGTTGTTAGGTGACAGTGATGCATTCTTACTGCTTGTGCCCATCAGAAGGGGATTGATAAATTGTGGCACATCCATATACTATAGCAAGTGTGGCTACTTAAAAGAATGAGAAGGATCTATATGCTCTGGCATAGAAAGGTAGGAAATTTAAAAGCAAGGTGAAAGTTATAGTAGGAGTCCCTTCATGATGCCTACAGTTAAGGGGTCAGCTACTAGCTGAAAAGTTGGTGGTTTGAACTCATTCAGAGGTACCTCGGAAGACAGGCCTGGCGATCTGCTTCCCAAAGGTCATAGCCTTGAAAACCCTATGGAGCAGTTCTACTCTGCACACATAGGGTTTCCATGAGTTGGAATCAACTTGATGGCAACTAATAATAACAACTGTTACCTTGGACTAGGTTTTCTCCCAAATAGACACTGTCGGTGTTGTGTAGGATCCTCTGATTCTTCCCCTTTGAGCATTTGAAGTGTCTTTTTTTTTTTTTTTTTTAAGTAGGCAGCATGTAGTCCAAAGCTGAAGGAATTATTTGTTAATTTTTCAATAATTTCTCTTTCTGATGGGTATGTGGAATCCATACTTCACCGTTCTTTCTCATCGTAGCTCTAGTCCTTTTTACTTCCCATTATTCTTCTCCTTTATTCCCATCTCACCATCTTGTTTCTTCCTCAGCCTTCAAAACTGAGAACCATGTGAGAAACCCGTTCCCCAAGATCTAATCACAGGCCAAATCCCAGCCATGGGCCTCTGCAGTGTGTCTCACACCTGTCCCTTCCTTACTGTGGGCATTCCTTTTGCCACTTCTCTGCTGAATCCTGATCTTCTCATCTCTCACCTGAACCTGGCAGTTGACTCCCTCCTTTCTTCAATCCATCCTACTTAATTCTGCCAATTATTTTTCTAAAGATCAACCCAGATTATGGCATTTCTCTCTTCAAGAGCTGTCCTTGATTTTCTCCTGCCCCCAACCCCAACCCCTCCATCTACCTTCAGAATAAAGTCCCACTCCTTAATCTAAGAGCATTTGGCCTTCATCTGTCTTTCTAGCCAATCTCCATGTACTTCAGTCACATTTCTGCTTTTATACCTTTGTCCATCTAGTTTGTTCTGCTCCAGATGCTCTTCCCCTCATCTGCATTTCTGAAAGTCCTATTCATATTTTAAGGTGCAGCCCAAATCCCTCCTGTGAAAGCTTGCTGTAAACCTGTTGGCTGGGATTAATCTGTTACAGTACTTGCCACAATGTGTTTTATGTTAAAATTATTTCACTATTATCTTTGAATCTTTAGTAGATTCTATAACATCCCTCCCCAAACAAGATTGTGAGCCCTTGGAGAGCAGGGTCTTCATCAGTCCATTTCTAGCCTTTGGTCTACACATGCCTGTTGAAAGTGAGTAAGATTTCTTGGACGCTTCAAAAAGTGTCTTTCTGTTATAAAATGTGGCATTTGATTGAAAAGATGATGCTTCCATTGCAGATTCATATACTAGCTTTCTTCATGGTCACGTAGGTCTGTGCTCTAGGAATAGATGACCATACCAAGAGAAATCTTACTTTTGGAAAAGGGAAAATTTGTTAGAGAAAGCACTGCCTTACAAGCAAAAGACTTGGGGAATGAAAATATATAAAGTAGTTCATCTTTCCCCAGGTTTGTTCATTTGGGCAAATGGGAGTTCTCAAAAAGCAATCATAATTCTTCACACTTTTGGAGTGGATTTCAGCCATAGGCCGTTTGCTTTCA